GGTTCGTAGCCCTTGTTTTAGTTTTAATTTTATAAATTATTTGAGCCTATTTTCTGTTGCTATTTTTAAATAATAACATTCCACCACCTATTATATTTAAAATCTAACTAGCTTGTTAATTTTTATTGTTAATTAATTGCAAAATCCTAAATCCTACAATATTTTCATTAAAGAATAATAAACTCTTCAAATTGATCAAAGGACTTATAGAGGAATTTGTAGTTGAAAAAGGGATACAACAATCTCTGATACACTCTGTATATTATGTATACTAAAACACTATGACACAAATGATGTAACCCGGAAAAGGGTATGGGAACAAAGTTTCTTAATAAACGTTGACGTCGACACCGTGTGGCAATTCCTTAAGTCGATACAGAAACTCGCTCTTATGAACTGTCTAACGGATTAGAAACGAATCCCCGTTTAATTAAGCTCCACAGAAATACGTTAAAGAATCCTAAAACCATCTGTATTACCGACTAAATTGTAATTTTTGTATAACAATTACTTTTTTCCTCTTTAACAGACTCGAATATCCTTTTCCGGGATAAAAGTATACGCATTAATACGTGTCTGTAAAGTGGAATTTGTGCCGGGAACGACAAAAAATTTTTCTTAAGATTTCAATTTCGAAATTTTTTATCGTTTTCGGCATAAACTCCGCCTTACAGATATGTATTAATGCGTATACCCTGAAAAAAGATTTTCGAATCTGTAAAAGAAGAAAAAATAATTGTTATATATACAAAAATTATAATTTAATCGATAATACAGACGACTTTAGGATCCCTTTAAGCATGTTAAAAATAGATTCTATTTACGTTAAAAAAAGAACTTTGAATTTTACATTATTAGCGATCTAATATTAAAAGAAGGGACGTCATTCACTCTTTTTTATAAAAATCTTTGTTGTAAAAATAGGAAGCTTAATTAAAACTACGTTTCTGACGTCAATCAATGTATTGACAAATCCAATATAAAAAAGATGCACATTATTAATATAATATACATAATATATCAATAATAATTACTTTTACAAGAGTTCTGAGATATAACTATAAAACAATCTCCTTTGCTTTGATGCATACAAAAGCGAATAATCGAATGAGTCATTATATCGTGATATCAACTTAGTGCACTGTCATTAACGGTTTAACGTCAAATTATTACCTTTTTAAGTAAACATTTCCGAACACGTGTTTACACAATTTTTTCTTATGGTTTTTGTTTTAATGGAATACGTAATCAAAGTATGCACATACTGTAGAATTATATTTATACATATATGTGTGCGAATATACGCATGTGTTTATTTTATGATAAAATTAATCTGTATTTTCATATATATTTAATTTATATGTGATATAAAAATGAATACTATTGCAAATAGCTTATCAGCTAATATATTATGCAGAAATATTATAAAAAAAAATTTGCCCCCAGAGAGATTTGAACTCTCGACCCCTGGTTTACAAGACCAGTGCTCTAACCCCTGAGCTATGGAGGCTTTCGATTGACACCTCTTTTAACACGCTTAAAGGTAACGTGACGTAAATCATATTTAATACATTAAATAGAAATATTATTTTAATTGTAGCAGAATCCTCCCTTTTTTATTTAACAAAATAATATTGTTAATTTAAGAAAATATGAAAGAATTTCGTGCAAAAAAAAGAAAAATGTGAAAAAAGAATCTTCAAATATATACGTTAATTAGTATATTAAATATAAAAATACTTTCATAATATTAAATTTAAATTTTTTATTTTTTTATTTTTTGTTGATAAACAAAGACGTCCAAGGTATTATATTAAAATAAAGTTAATATTCCTTTTCCATGTTGTTTATATTAGAAAGATATTAAGAGCTTGTTTTAAAAGGATTCCGAGAATTTAAACAAAAGAGAATTTGTTCAGGTAAAATACCAGATTGCTGTGTTGCAACGAATAAAATTGTTCATTTAGGAAAATCATGTCGTAGGATTTCTACTTTACAATGCAGAAGCACTACTCCAATTTTTCTAGTTAAAAAAGAATTCGCTAATATATTCTCAGTACCTTTGAACCTTTTCTTTCAGGGTTACGATAAATATTAAATATTTATTTGCATATTTATGAGGAAATGTTCGCATATGCCGCCACCATGAGTTTGCGTGTTGACGCTCCGCATTTTATTTCGCATTTGCCAGACACTCGGAAATTTCGGCGAAATCTCGAATCTGCTGAACCGTCACGTTTCGCTAAAACCATACATTTACTTACGCTATCTCTGAATCTTTCAATTTGATCTTTCAATTTGATCTTTTATTTAATTCATTATTAAATCTCAACGATAATATGATAAAATTCAAGAACTCTAAGTAAAGAAAGATGTCATAGTACGTACAATCCAAATAAACGTATTAAATATAAAAACACTGTCTATTCCATTCATAAACGTAATACGGAAACAACAGTTTTACTGAAGTGTCTAAAAATTGAACGAGATACAAATCTGAAAATAATTTTATTAGACCATCAAAATAATTATGTGGGGCGCTTAAACTAGTTGCTAGAATGTCAAAACTTTTTGCAGCATTACTTATCACGCTTAAGTTTCTGGTATAATTATTTTGATGGTACAACAAAATTATTTTCAGACCTGTATTTAGTTAAATTTTCAAAAACTTAATCGTTCTCTCTATGTACATACTGTGTACTCCAATGAAGTTGTCACTATCATTTTTTTGTAAAGAGGTAATTTTGTGTGTATTTTCTTATCTCCTCGTTTATTCTTATCGCATTTATACAACAACGATACCACTCAAAAAACAGATTCGAGTTTTTCAGAAAATGAATTTGAATGTTTCAAATCATTACAATTTTGTAATATTAATTTTGAAAATGTAATTTGGTGTAATAATTGATTATAGAAGAATAAAAGTATGTCTCTTAAAATATGTTCTTTTTCTTTGTTTCCGTTCATCTTTTGTAAGCAATTCCAAAAAGTAAAATTTTTTAGTTATGTTGTAGCAAATGAGCAATATGTATATTTGTTCCAAGTTTTTATTGCGCTCCTCACCTAAAATAAATTAAAGAGATATTGATATACTTCAACATTGTATTCCTTTTTTAACAAAGCATAGATGTTAAGGTCAATTAAAATAGCAAAACGCGCAGTTTATACCTACCACGTCTTTGATTCTGTCAGTAAAAAAAAATGAGCGTTTTACTTATAAATTTTAGGATGACAAACAACGTGCGATGTAAAAGGCTCGTGAAAAGCGCCTTCCATCACTCGTTTTCCGCCAAATAAGCTACGAAATGCGGCGGAGGAAGTCGATGAAGGACAGCTCATCGTAATGCAGCTGGTTCTGCTGTGTGCGCAGCCACTGTACCTTTCGCATACCTTGGAGAGTGCATCCTTGAGTGCGTTCGCCAGGCGACAAAGTCCGCCTGCGCGTAAAATCGCTACATCGCTCGCCTATCTTAAGCTGCCGACTTCGCAATGTCGGTGTAAACTTTAAGGGTGAAAGGAGAATAGAATAAAATTTTATGCCAGCATCGCTTGAATAAAGTTCAGCTCGCACAAAGGCATTCTTACAGTTGCTATTATTATTGAATGTATTATCACTCATTAAACATGATTTCCGACAACCTGAAATTTAATTTTTACAAAACGTAAAACTCGACGGTACATCTTATGTCAATCGTTCTCCAGTTTCTTCTACGAAGAAGAATCTTTAAGAAAAAAAAGGGGGAAGAAATTGCGCACAGTTTCGCAACGTAATTTTTTACGACGCTGTAACTTTTTAGACGCTTGAACGATCGTCCAGGGCATCCTCACTGCAAAAATGCGAAATAGAAAATTATTCGATAATAACGGTTAAGTTTGGAATTAAAAACTTTAACAACCGGAAATTAAGGCAGAGGCAAGAAACTAACGAACTACGTTCAAGGACTGATTAAGTTCTGACAGGGCTAATTAGAAGTGTTTCGTGCTATTCGTCGACTCGTGAAAATTGTGCTGATTTGATTAACGGCGTATATACGACGTTAAGACGGAAAATGCGTAAAAAAGCGCGATCTTTTTGAGTTTATGCATCTACGTTCCACGAAGAAAAATAAATAAAGACGAAACGAATGCTTTTAGCCGAAGGTGGAAGTGGAAGCATTTGTTTGTTTCGCGTTATAAAGCACGTCGTACATTTCCGTTTGAGTAATCCTCCGTTTTTACTACAAAAGCAATTGCTTTGCTTTTCCACACTCAAGTCTGCAGCCGTCCTTTGTCATTGCTATCACGTCGGCTAACGTAATTTGATTATCTTTAACGAGGTAACGATCGTAAGGCGAGTTTTTAAATTCATCGATTGATCAATCGCATTATGCGCAAATGCAACTTTTATAAAGTTGCATTTACACATAATGCGATTGATCAGTCGATGTGAATTTAAAAACTTGCCTATATTTATCTCAACGATTGATCTTTCGAACTCATAATATATAATTATGACATCGCGATGCGCATATATTAGTAGAAGATAATTAGAAAGTGAGGTGTAATTTCAAGTATACCAAGAAGTCAACTACTTCATATAATGTCGAGGTATTTACTTTCACATGAATCGAATGTGCTACATGTCACTCATTTCCAACATTATTATAACTTTTTACTGACAGAGACAGATAATTGGACAAGCACGTTTTTGTTATTAAAATTTATTAGTACAATATGTTTAATATTTTATAATTTTTGTTGTTAATATTTATTAGATAAACACGAAGGAAATATGAAGATTTATACACTGAAAAAAACATTTCTAAATTTTAGTAAATTATTTGTTTGAATAATACCAACTAAATATTTACTAAATATGAAGTTATATCTTTAGTACAAGAACTATTAATTTGATTTAACCAATATTTATTTATTAAATAAATATTTATGCAATAGAAAAAGTAAGTAAACATTTAGTTGGCACTATTCAAATAAATATTTATTAAAATTTTGTGCTTTAAATAAGAATAGCATTTGCTTCTAATTTATTAATTAATTGTGATTGACACTGACTGTGTCACACTTGATGCTAACTTGAACAACTTTTTTTATTTACGAAGTAGTTTAGGATCAAGTAGAAATGAAAGATCAACCCATAATCCAACTTCTGTTCTCTTGAATGAGGATGCAAGTGCATTCCCTAGCATCCTCCGCACGACATCCTGGAGTGCCTGCTATCAAAATCCAGGAAGTCCTCGTCAAGTACGATCGTCCGAACGATTGTCTCACAGCACAATCGCGCCAGTCTATCCCGCCCTGATAGTTGCACGCCTATTGCCATATATTATCATCAATATTACTCTAATCGTCTCTATATGTTGATGAATGTTCGATTATAAACATCGGCATAGTTGATGCGTTATAATCACGAGACGAACGATACAAGACGTAATTTTCTACTTACAGGGACATTAGCATCGCGTAACGGACACAATCAAGGACGTGGCATTAAAATGCAACACAAAATGCAAATACGATTTTGTTGTCGATATGTTACACTCGCTACCGAGCGACACGCGAGGTCGACGAAAGAAAAATCTATCAGGATGTAATGGGGTATAATGATAAACGTCTCTGATAATGAACGAAGGTCTCATCTTCGTACGCCCGTTATGAAACGTCTTTGTGCGAGAGGGATTGCATATGTATCTTAAAAATCATTTGGTTCATTCAAGCAGATGTATCGCTCATTTGCCATAACGATGATATAATTTAAAAAATTGTAATTTTTTTTAGTTGCTTGCAAAAAAAGAGTGGATTAACATAAAAAAAAAAGAAAAATCATACTTTAAAAGTATTTTCATTTCTCTATGATCTCATTTATTATATCAAAGTTGCATTTCAAAATTAAAATTATAGAATTTCAATGATTGAAAATATTTAAACTCATTTTCTGGAAAACTTTGTATTTTTTACTTGTGACGTTGTCGTTATAACGAATGAACGATATGCTGGCGCTTTAAATAGTGTATTCATCAAACTGGAGTAATTGCGATCAATGACGCGCGGTTTCATATATTAGAGATACCGTAATGAATAGAAACTGTATACGAGATGCCTCATTTTATTATAACGCATTTTAATAAAAGATTTTTTTATATAAATATTCCTCGGATTGATACGCCGTGACACAAATAACTTCTCAAATTAGAAACAATTGAAAAAATAAAAATATTTTTATAGATAAGAGCTGCAGAAAATATATAGAAATAAATAATAGAATATGATTCTTCGTCGAAATGAAAATTCACCGTCAAGATGAGTTCAATTGGATTATTTAATAAAATTTTAATTCCAGAATCAATTATAAAATACATATTATAGAAATTTATATTAAAATAGATTAAAACTGAAAAAGACTGTAAATAAAAAATTATTTATATAAAAAATTACCTATCAATGCACATTGAGAAAGAAGATACTTCAAAATTTATTTGTGAGAAATATATTTATATCTCACTAAAAGATATCTTTAAATATAAAATAAAATTTTATTCTTAGCAAATAAACCGTATATTTTATTTTTTTTAATGAGATATATTTCACAGAAATAAATATTTTGTTATCACAATTAAATTTTTTCATAACTAATACATATCGAAGAAAACGTCGTAAGTAACATTTGCTTCGCGATATTTCGATTTATTTTTCTCTCAATGCACATGGCTAAGAAGATATCTATATCGAGCTCGTTAAACAAAACCCATCATTACGATCGTATAGAAATGAAATGTTACCCATTCAGGAAATATTGGAAACAATAAAATCGTACTAAAAACACTTACCATGAGCTGTTTCGATAGGCGATCCAGAGTGACGACGTATCGATTCGAAATCAAAAGTTTACGTTATCCAGCTCACGTGTGAGTTTCAGAGTGACCTCCAGGGTGGAGGTGTCACTGTGCCACTTGGCGGAGGACGCGTTGGGATCCACCGAATGTGGTGTCGGTAGGTGCAGCCGATATCTGGTGGAATCGCGACTGGTTTTACGCGTCGGGTAGATTTACAGCCTCGTTAAATTGTCAAAGAAGGGCGGACGCTCGTCTCCATCGGAACCAAACGCGACTCCGACGGCGGGAGCGAGTTTCGCTCTCCTTCTGTCACATGGGTCACACTAATAAATTCCCGGTCGTGGTCACCTCACCTTGGACTGCGCACGTCGATCGCCTCGGATTCCACGGAGAGCTCCACTTTTTCCCGCGTTTCCTGGGGCAATTTCACCAGCACCGACAGCCACTCGCAGGACGCCGTGCTCGGTGTTTTAAAGCCCATCTAAATAACAATTCGTCCGTCTTCAAGGCCGCGGTTCACGCGTAACGTGTGTCGAGTGAAATGAATTCTCTTTCGACGGTTCGCGAAGTCATCGGCTTTGCGAGAGAGAATAATCGAGAGACTCTATATACGTGTTATCTTGGCTCTGTTGCTTTATTGCGCCACATTTCTTTAGCGGTAATTCTATTTTTCCAGGAAAATTGCATATATTTTAATTTTTAAAGCGCAATCCAAAAACGATAGTATATATATTTTCATTTCTTTACGTTCTTCTTCGTTAATTTTTATTGACTTTGAAGCATGGAAATTTTATTGACTCGCAGCATGGAAATATATAAATTTTGGTCTTTGAAGAAAATACAGATTTATCATTTATTTTATTTTACTTAGTCTCATACATAAAATATTCTCGAACTTTCAAACAAATACAATACGGATACAGAACTTAAAATCGAATGATCCTTTATCATTAAATCTATACGATAAGAATAAACATACAATATGTATGAACATATAAGAATATGTATAAGAATGAACTATGTACAACATATCAGTTTATTCTTATCATAGTAGATTTAATGATAAATGATCGATCATTCAATTTGAAGTTCTGTATGTGTATTGTATTTTTTGGAAAGTTGAGAATATTTTATGTATAAGAGCATAAGTTAAATCAAATAGATGATAAATCTGTACTTTTCTTCAAAGATGAAAATTTTTATATTTATAATATTGAACGTTTCATAACACTCAAAATTGTATCAAAGCCTTATTTAATTGTTACCAAAAAGAGACTCACTCCTAAATAAACATCTTCAGCTGTCACTGCCTGTTTAAACTTTATCTCATATTCGGGCGACTTTCTAGGGTCGTAATCCTGCAAACTCTGAGTATCGACCGCTTCTGAGGGATGCCAAATATCATCACCCTTGCCTTGTAGGGGTACATGAGGTCCCGAACGATTTTGGGAAGAGTCCTGGGAAAGGTCACTCGGCGCGCCAATGTCACCAGGTCCTTGTAAGCAAATATTTCATTAGCCATCTTGTCAATCGTCTCGTTTTTATTCCGCACAACTAATGACTAATAACATTACATTGTCTCGATGAGCATGATAACATCACCCAGAGGTGGCGCGTAAGCTGCTTAACGGTAATTTAAAAACGGATGTGTAACGATGATTTATAATTAAACGTAACTGCGAATTGAGAATCGCACGAGTCCTATTAAAATTAATGATTGACAGCGCAAATATAACTTGCAGCGCGGGTTGCTTTATTGGTTGCTGCGTCGGATCATTTATAAAGCGTTACGTCGATAATATTACCGGTTTGCGAAGAGGAAATCGCAATATGCATATAAAACTCGCGGTACACGTTTAATTCTCACCGCAATTACGTGTTACCTACGATCCTAATAAGAGGGAGGATGTAATTCTGCTATGGACGTATTCAAAGGATTCAACCTCCCCGCTAAATTGTTTTTTTACTTTTTCATTTTTAATTAAAAAGAAAACAGCTTTACTTTTAACTTTAAATAAACTTTTTGTTGTCACATAAGATATTTTTTTCTCTCCGTTACGACCATGTAGGTAATTTCTGAAACTTTCATTAGTTAGAGCTTTAACAAAGTGTCATAATTTTAATAATATTTAGTAAAGTTTCTCATCTAAGAAGCCACTCCTCTTTTCTAAATTTTTTTTAATTTCTTTTCTGAGGAAAATAATCGTGAATATTTTGTATGTAATAACAGTTGCAATATTATAAAGAAATATATATTTCATCTTTTATATAAATGTATCTTACATAAATGTATTTAATATAAATATATTTGATATATAAATGTATTTTTAAGTTACGACTTTAAATCTTAATACTTTTTTCTATTCAAAATCAGGAACGAGAAGGATATTCTAAGTTCTAAAATATTTAGAAAAGCAATTCATTAATGCAAAAAATGTTGTTTATACGATAACAGAAATCAGAATTGAAACTCCCCCCGCCGAAAAAAATCCTAGATACATTCATGAATTTTACGCTATCTGCACGAAATACTTAAGACAAAAGCATTATAAAAAATTCTCTATCATTTCGTTGTCATGAGCTTCAAGTTTCCGAATGTGAGTAAAAAATGTAAATTAAATAATGAAAAATACGCGAATAATAAACGCTCGCGCATACGAATGCGTATGGAGCTGTTGTGTTTACTAATTAATTGCGTTTTCGCCAGGCTAAATAATATCCCGAACAATACATCGAATTAAACGTAACGATACAACGAGATTTTCAGTTCGAAAACACATCGGGCTTCACCCGGCTTGAAATTGCACAGGGGAAATTAGCCATCGCGCGACGCCGATTGTTTTAACAGCATGCAACAATTTTGCCGGGTGTATCTCCATAATTAATCAGTCGTAAAACGTAAACTCACCCAACTTCCTCGCACCCGCCTGCGGTAGATCGTCCTCGCTGTCAGAGTCGTCCTTCGATGGACAAATTAAATTTTGGAGAGCCTGTAAATCCGCCGGACTGAAATAGCCGTCCATTACGGATATTATATACGCGTGAAATTTTACCTGAAGCTCACACTTTCTCTGCTGCAACGCATAGCCCGCAACAACAAATTAACGTCGCTATGGCGACAAACTCGCAGTTACTCGATAAGGTGGCCCGATTCGAAATTGATTCGGTCGAAAAATTCCGCTTGACGTCGCGCGGAGTCGAAACTTTTATATATCTATTAAATTGAATATGCAACAACCGTTCCCTCGATCGGAGAACAATTTCAATCGCGTGTTATGGAGACAAAAATAAAAAATGGTCGAAAGTACCATACAGCTGTGATTCGTTTGATGATTTTTTTTAAATTTAATTTAACTTCAACAATTTTTATTGTGTAATTAAAAAAATATACATATAATGTATATCCTACACATATGTACAATATATTATACATATATGCACAACGTAAAAATAGATAGAATATAAGCAAAACGTGATAAATGTCTGTGATGTTAGCACGGCATTTTATTAATTTTCAAAAAACAATGATTGTTTCGGTAGTAACACTTTCCGTTCTACTGTTCTTTCAAAAATAACAAAATGTTCTACAGTTTTTATATCAAAAAATCAAAAATAAAGAAATGCCATGCTAACTTTACGTTCCACGGTGTAACTTTCTCTAAAGTACCAGATGCCATCGAATATTATGACATCTGTTAAGTATTCCCGTTTTTTTTAAGCTAGATTGATTATAATATAATGTTTCAGGATAAAATATCAATAATTCATAATTTTTACACCGGTTAGAATATTCGTACTCCACGGAAACGTGTCGACCCGATAATTTTGGGCATTTTTTACAATATAGCTCTGACTTATTCCGCTCGAGTTCTATACGAATAAATCATTATAAAAGTTGTTCCATTTTATAAACATTTTTTAAACAACTTTAACTATCGTTACCAGCACATCACTTAACGGAAATGTGTCGTGCTGATTAATTTTAGCACTTCTGGCGGTAGTTCTGAGTTGCTCTCCGCTTGAATAAATTATTATCAAAGGTTGTGCCGCCTTATAAACATTTTTTACACAATCTTAACTATCGCTACCAGCACGTCACTTGGCGGAAATGTGTCGTACTGATTATTTTCAGCACTTCTGGCGGTAGTTTTGAATTGTTCCGCTCGAGTTTTATACGAATAAATTATTATCAAAGGTTGTTCCGCCTTATAAATAATTTTTACACAATCTTAACTATTGCTACCAGCACGTCACTTAGCGGAAATGTGTTGTGTTGATTAATTTTAGCACTTTTGGCGATAGTTCTGAGTTGCTCCGCTCGAATAAATTATTATCAAAGGTTGTGCCGCCTTATAAACATTTTTCACACAATTTTAACTATCGCTACCAGCATGTCACTTGGCGGAAACATATCGTGCTGATTATTTTCAGCACTTCTGGCGGTAGTTTTGAATTGTTCCGTTTGAGTTTTATACGAATAAATTATTATCAAAGGTTTGTTCCGCCTTATAAACATTTTTTACACAATCTTAACTATCGCTACCAGCATGTCACTTGACGGAAATGTGTTGTGTTGATATATATTCCTATAGAAGGACCAGAACTATCGTCAAGAGTGCTGAAAATAATCAGCTCAACAATTGTTTGATTTTCTTTTACAACGTTACAAGTAATGTTTCAATAATCGTATGAGTTTCGTTAGATTTTTTTCCCTTATAAAAATTTTTGTAACGGAATAGCGGGCTGCTGTCAAATTTTATCTCAAAATTCAAACCTGGGAATTGGCCAACCTCAAAATCGTATTTTGAAACAAATTCAAATCTAGGATTCATCTCAAGGGAAGCAAAATTGATCAAAACGAAGGCGACGAAATCCAAAATCAAGTTGATCGCTTTCTTTGATACAGATGGCTTTGACTCTCGAAATTCAAATAAAATTCAAATAAAGGGAACGCATTTTGATATTTTAGACATCTAGGCGAATTGACTTTGAAATAGCCTTCAATGTGACGAGCGCATCGAAAACTTATTTCGAAAAGTGACTACTGTACAAAAGCTTCCAACGGTTGAAAGACATTCTGAGCATTGAAGTCAGGAAAAACTATGTTGGTTTTCATTAATAAAATTTACAGTGAGTGCAAAAAGTATTCGTATAGAGAAAATATTTTTTAAAAAAACTTTATTTCTAAAAAGTAAATATTATCCAGCGAGAAATGAGTCATCGAATTGATATCATGTCAAATCGATATAAATACGATGATTTCAACATCAATTTAACGTCGATTCGACGTTTAATTGACGATCATTTCTTGTTGAATAATTAACAATTTATTCATAAAGAATAAAATAGACTGTATATTTCTTAAAATTATACCAAAAAGATGTGTATTAATCATACAAAATATATCACCTGAAAAATAAGCGAAAATTAAAAATTGTATTGTTTGAATGCTCAAAAAGTATTCGTACAAACGAGAAATTGAGCTTCTAAAATCAGGTATACATGCGAAGCTCGTTTGTTTATGTTAGAACAGAATATATTCGTTGTATAAAATTGCTAATTAATGTTTATTTTCTACAAATAAGACTTTTCTTATAACAAATTTCCTTACGAATACTTTTTGGTCTCACTGTATATACATATTTTAGTTTCTTAATTTTTCTGAATCCTGTCTTGGAACTTTTTAGGCAGACCGTGTATTTCGTTATTAACATGAAAATTAATAACTTTATTGTTTTACATATGGGAAGAAAAAAGATTACGATAACGAATTACGATAACAAAATGCGAATATATATATATATATATATTAATTTATGCTAATTAAAAGGCACTAATTAATTTCAAGGAACCAAAATGACATAATTTATATAAAAAAAGAATATAAATACTTATTTTAATATGGTTAATATAAATTTACAGATTAACATATAAAGAAAATTAAATTTACATTTTTGACAAATTTAATATTAAAAAATTAAATTATTTAACATTTTTACGACAAGATTTATAATTGAGTAGGTCTAATAGACCCACTGTCAGCTCCGAAGGATTAAATTAATCCCAAGTTTGAGCAAAGTCACCATCAAAGTCTGCGCTTCTGCCAATTAAATTTTATGGTAAGCATCCCATAAAAAAAAGCTTTTAAAGAGTCTTCAATGTAGGAAAATGTAAAAATAAAAAAAATTTAAGAAATTTTTAATTAAATTATATAGACGTAAAGAAGGAGGACGCTTATGATCTTTAAACAGATTTCAAGAGAATAATCCATCTAAAGAAGAAATCTATTTTGCATATAAAAATTATGAATATATTCGATCTTATTTATCCAAGATTGTCAAAATAAACATCTGAGATGTTATATAATTATTTTATAGGAATCCCTAGAGCACAAAAGTTGCAGCAACAATGCTGCAACATTGCAGCGATATTGCATGTTGCAGCAATATTGCAGCGTTATTGCTGCGATATTGCTGCAAATTCTGTGCTGTATAGAAATAGTCTCTATAAATATTTTCGTAGTCAAATTCAAAACGATTTTAAATATCAAATCAGTCTTTGAATATCGATCGGTCTTTAATTCGTTTTTAATCACATTTAAAGATCTATATCTGCATCAATTTAAAAATCTATCTTACACGTGACAACAATTTGAAACACTTGCTGCTTCCTGCGGAAATTACATTCCATTTGATTCCATTGTGATCGCTGGCAGCGAGAATGGAACGCACCTCACGCACCTTAATCGAGAAACCTGAAATCTGAGAAACCACACAAAACGTTCATGTGCCGCTTGTGCGAACTGCGATCACGTGCAGTCCGACCAACACAACGCAACGGTGTCCAGTGCCGGTGAGGGAGGTCCTTTCTGCGACGCGACAGCTTGGTAACATGGTGGACGTGATGAGCGAGAAGCTGTCGAAAAAGTAAGTAAAGTGCACGACGTTGGACGAAATTATCGTATCTGTAGGATATCCGTTGAGTCTCGTGACGCTTTTCGCTCGATTGCTCTGATCACAACACGGCAACTTTTCCCCTTACGGGCGACATAACCTAAAAAGGAGAAAAATCCGACATGTGGCTCGTTGCCACGCGGTCATATACGGTGCTCTTTACGTGGTTCGAATTTTCTCGCAGATAACGGTATCTTGTAGAAAAATTTAATCGTCAGATGGGTAAAGTCTAATCCCGGCGCAGCGATCATGTTCAGTACATTAACCAATGCTCGTGTTATGATTGCGCGGTCAGTAGGGCGAACCTGGTTAATGAGCCACGGGACAAAGTTGCGTCAGACTCCTCCGCGTCGATTTGCCACGAAGTGCGTAATGGATCATTCGATACATTATTCGATCCTAAGAGAAGTGAATTGAGATGATATCCTAATTGCAGCGAGCTGAAAAGGCGTCTCAAGGCCGAGCAAAAGGCCAAGGAGAAGGCTGAGAAGGAAGAGGCCAAGACGCTTGCAGTGACAGCTCAACCAAAGTCTGAGAAAAACGAAATCAATGAAGAGGAGATTAGTCCAAATGTAAGTTCCAGAGTCTTGTAAAATAAAAATTTATACTGGGTATAATAGAACAAATTCATCTTGTGTGGAAAACAAAGGATAAAGATCCTTTTATTTCATGGGCAATCAATTACTTTTTCTTGGATTTAATAAAATTCAACAGCCCAATTTTCAATATTACACTTTAACTAAAGTCTGTTATACAATGTATTAATATTTTTATTAAACCTAGCTGTACATATTTATTTTTTATAGAGATCATAAATTGTATAGCTAAGGTTAAATCTTAAACCGATTCCAAAAAGATTTATTATGAAATTTGTATATTTGCAGGAATATTTTAAGCTCCGGTCAAACTTGGTCAGTCAACTCAAAGCTATTAATGATAATCCTTATCCACATAAGTTTCACGTATCTGTCTCCCTGGAGGAGTTCATTGAGAAATTCAAGGATATTGTGAAAGATGGTGAAATATTGGATAATGAGGTACATAGCGTCGCCGGACGTGTTCACTCCATTCGAGGATCCGGCGCCAAATTGATCTTTTACGATCTTCGTGGAGAAGGTGTCAAGGTGCAA